TTTCAATTGAAATAAGAACAATTTCATCCGCGATTCGGTGGGGAAGGTCGAAGCACCACGATAGTCAGCAGTAGGCTGGACAGACAGGAATACTTTGAAAACAGCAACAGGCATGATAGTGTACTCGGTTTGCTGCACAATATCTACTAAGGTGGTTCTAAGCGGTTCCTGGCTCGGCATGGCTAGGTGGTTTGGGCGCTCGACTCGCAATCTGAGGGTCGCGGGTTCGAATCCCGTCACACCAAACAAGCTTGCCCTTTCAGGCGTGGGGGCGTTATAATGTGACGGTCAATCCCACTATTCGTTGGTAAAAGAGTAGCCCAAAAGTTGGCGGTGGGTGGTGATGACTAACTGCCTTCCGTCTAGTCTTACCCTGCTAAATTAGGAACGGCTAACGCAGATAGCCCTCGTGTAGCTTTGCGCGAAATTCAAAAAACAAACAAACGAAGAAACTAAGATGTTCCTGAATACCTCTGCGTGTCATTTGAAGACTTCCGCGCTTCTTGTGCTTGGCCGTTAAGCTCGTGATGCGCTGACGGATATCAGTCACCTTACCACTAAAAATCACTTTTTTTCGCAGCCCCAACACTAAAAGAGTGGAAATGCCTTCTTTTTTAGCCAATAAACATCTAACAAAAATTTTCAATTCAGATTAAGAAAAATCGGATTGGGTAGTTTGTTTTTTTTTTCAACAAAAATGTCACCCACTGGCTCGTGAGGGACCTGTTAAAATTAATACTTGCTAGTATTAGATTTCAAACGTTGGATGTCACAGTGGTTACAGCGCTCGGCTCTCGCGTTCAAATCCCAGTCATATCGGGATTTTATGTTGCTGTTTTTTCAAATGATCATATTTACAGCAAGCTCTTTCAATACCATTATATATTAAATCAAGGATCTGAGTATTGGTTAACATTCTGATTGAAAGATGGTATGTTTACAGCATCAACTTTTCAATTCAACTGAACACTTCTTACACCATCTGTGAAATGAATTTTAAGCTAAAATTCTGAACAAAACTAAAAGTTGATCAGACACAGAATAAGAAAGAAAACGTCGCTTAGCAAGAGAAAGCAGAAGCAGATGGGTTGCACGACAAAAATCAAGAAAGTTAGGATAAGTGAAACAGAGAGAAAATATTTGACACGATCAAATTAAGCCCCCGAAGAAACGAAGCGAAGTAGGCAAATTAAAGCTTAAATGGGTTCTGCCCCCTTCTTCCTCCCCAAATGTCTTATCTGCGGGTGAACGGGTACATAAGTTGGTATATGTATATAAGTTACAAGTTAATATTCTTAAGATTTTTGGCTCATTACTTTGCAAGATGTTTTATCATAACTTTATGAGAAAATCTGACATTTTATTTATCATGAGCGAAGACGTACAATTCGAAAATTTATATACTAGTGCTATCGTACGAAGTTCGATGAAAATACACAAAACATTGTTTGGAGTGAAATGAACACGAACACGAACTTGTAATGTTTCTTGTTGTTTTATACGAGGAAAACTGCAGCTACGTTTGTATACAAGACCCTGAAAGGGTTCTGAAGTTAACGTCTGTGCTCTGCTTTGCACGTAACAATCTAATAAGAAAATTGAAACGGTGGTATGCGAGTAAAACGTATCATTGTGTCATCCGGTATTTGATACTTTCGGCTTGAACGGCACCTTAGGCGACGAATGAACTAAATGACCAAGTAAAAAGCCCCAAGTTTTAGGTATAGCCATCCCTAATTTAATACTGCTGACCAGAGAAAGGACAACCAGTCAGCTTCACCCACATTATTCTTAACTGAATAGTGGATTTTGTAACGCACACTCAGCGGAAAGTACGGAGCTTATTCAGCAGCACATCGTGAGCTCGAACTTTGGACCTCTCGGCCACAGCTCGACACAGCCGACACCCGGCGTATATTGTGTCATTTTCAACACCCCTATAACTCAAAGTGAAATAACCTTAATTAGAAATAGTCTTAAAAGTAGTTCTGTAATATCTGCATATAGATTCGTAAGCGACTTAGTATTGGCAACTGTTTAGCGTTTCTAATATCAGGAAAGAATCGATTTACTCATTTTTATAAGAAACAAAAAAAACTACTTGTATGAAATTTTTCTAGAGCTGTAACAGTAGCACTTAAGTAGCAGTTTTGTTTATATTAAAGTTCGATACATTCTCGTATTCTATTTGAAATTTTGCTTCACTTTACACAACATATATCTACAGATTACATTTTACTTGGTGTGTGAAAAGCCCTGGTATTTCAACAAATTATGATAATCGTCTATACGAGAGTATACTGTTGACTGTAAACATCTATTTACTTGGTGTGTGAAAAGCCCTGGTATTTCAACAAATTATGATAATCGTCTATACGAGAGTATACTGTTGACTGTAAACATCTATTTACTTGGTGCGTGAAAAGCCCTGGTATTTCAACAAATTATGATAATCGTCTATACGAGAGTATACTGTTGACTGTAAACATCTATTTACTTGGTGTGTGAAAAGCCCTGGTATTTCAACAAATTATGATAATCGTCTATACGAGAGTATACTGTTGACTGTAAACATCTATTTCCACTTCATCAAAGAAGTTTGCGAAATTAGAAAAAGATAAAACTTCCAAAGCGTACTTATGCAATTTTTTAATAAAAATATATTTTCAAAAAATGTTTGAAATATAACCTCGTGGGATCCAAAAATTGGCATTATTTTTAACAGTTTGATATTTTTTGTTTGACACAACTCTCAATGTAAAGAATTGACCTCAAAATTGGGTGAAATCACCCATTTTCTATGCACAAATACATAGGAAACCTCAGAAGGTATTAGTGGAATTAATTGCAATATCGATAGAATTTTTTTTACATTTTTCTGTGTGACTCATGGACCCACAGTTGTGATGAAAACTTTGAAGAGATCTGTTATATTGGTAGCTGTAACTGATGTGTACACCTTCAACGAACGGGGGAGACATAGCGACTCAGTTTCGAACAAAGACTCCCTTGTGTCATTCTCTAGGTACATGTCAGGTTTGGTGACAATCGATCTAGCAATTCGCCATTTATAGACGGACACATGCACACAAACATTTGTAAAAATAATGTCTTAGATTATAGGGTTTGGTATGTTGTTCTTAATTAACCTTTATTAATACGCTTTTAATGAAATGTATGAAGTACCAATAACACCTAGCGATACATTCCTTAGTTAAAATATACAACTCTTTAAGATTTATTCAAACCTGGTGGACTTAAACTGACTATAGGTGCGAGTGTTTTACGGATTTATTCAAATCATACGTTGACGTAAAGATAGCTGCGTAATATAGAAACGTCATCTATAGTAACGTATATATGTATTCACGTTAATATAGACTAGTAATAATAGGCAATATAACATGCTCTTAAATGAAGAATATCGAAAATTTGGGCAATTTCTATTTTACATATCGAACGTAATTCAATGTGTGTATATATATATATCAACAGCAGTAAATATATATGCTATAATACACAGATAAATATTTAAATTATATTAGAGGGGACTGTGTTTTTACAGTAAAAAATGTGTTGGAGTGAAAATATGTTTAGATTACGTAAGTCTGGACTGAGGTTTTTATAGTAAAGAAAGTATTGAAGAAAATATATGATTAGATTGCGTAAAACAATACATATAGAAATCAATATGTTGATGCAAAGAAACATTTGGATTCTAGAAGACGATGCATATAGAAATTAACATATTAGTGTGAAGAGAAATTTAGCTTGTATAATACGATACATATAAAAATGAATGTGTTCATGTAAAGAGACATTTAGATTGTGTAAGATACGTATAGATATCAATGTGTTGATGTAGAGAGTCATTGAGTTTAGATTGTGTACGGTGTGTTGTTGTAAAGAGAAATTTTGATTGTACAAGACGATATATATAGAAATTATAGTGTTGATGTAAAGAGACATTTAGGTTTTATAAGATGATACATATAGAAATGAATGTCTTTGTGTAAAGATGTGTTTAGGTTGTATAAGATGATACATATAGAAATGAATGTCTTTGTGTAAAGATGTGTTTAGGTTGTATAAGATGATACATATAGAAATGAATGTCTTTGTGTAAAGATGTGTTTAGGTTTTATAAGATGATACATATAGAAATGAATGTCTTTGTGTAAAGATATGTTTAGATTGTATAAGATGATACGTATAGAAATGAATGTCTTTGTGTAAAGATATGTTTAGGTTGTATAAAATGATACGTATAGAAATTAATGTATTTGTGTAAAGATATGTTTAGGTCGTGTAAGAATGAATACAAATGGCCTGAAATATGGCTACAATTAGGCGGGTCCTTGTTTACTGGGTAATGATATAATTGTTACAAGAGCGAGGAAGACACAGCAACATATTATATTGACACACGCATGACGCTACACGTAATGCCTTATGTTGCAATGAATGCTCGCGTCATTGAATTTTAATATTCGACTTCAAGCACTCCTAATTACACCAGCGTAATATTACTTCATTATCTGTGTTGATCTTGTTTCATTAGCCGATGGTAAAGTACCGGTTTCCTTTTAACGCTTTATATGTGGGAGTAACTAGAGTACATGAACGTGTTTATTCACTCCAATATTAACACTTGCTTTACCAGTACTGTTCATTTGGGTTGCTGTGTAACGCTGATTTTGTGTAATTAAAAGATTAATACAAAATTAAATTAGAACTTGAGGTTGAAAGAGATATCAATGTTGTAGTTCAGATACAACTTTTGATCTGTATACAGTGGAGTGAAAGATGAAATAATACGTTTTTAAACTGTCTTTAAGAATGTGTACTTCGTAAAATAAAGTGTTGGCCATCACGAGTGCCGCGCCCATTTCACGAGTTTCTATTTCTTCCATCGGTGTCTAGCATCCGTCAGCATTTTTATCTAAATTTGTTTTGTGTTTTTATTATTTATTTGCTAACAATTGTTTCAATCTTTACAGGTGAAAATATGGTTCCAGAACCGGCGTATGAAATGGAAACGGAGTAGGAAGGCTCAGCATGAAGCTAAGACTATAAAACAACAACAGTCGTCGGGGCAGGAGGCTCTATCGTCCGGAGCGAACGAGCCCGAACAACCGGAGGCCAAAGACCATAACAACACGACCGTCAGTTCGCCGAGCGAAGGTCCTACTTCACCGGGAAGTCCATCGGTGGAGGCAACCCGAGATGCTGTGGAAGAACAGCAGTTTTCTCCTCTCCCAGCCGCCCCCGACATGCTTGTTTCTTCACCAGCATGTGCGCAGTTAGTGTCCGGGGCTAATAACTTGCTGGTGGCAGCTAGGTTGTCGGTCTCTGCTTCACGGGTACCTGGCCAGCAAGAAGGAATTTACAGACCTTATGTAGTGTGAGTCACGACTCTTCTTCAGTCCCTTTTTTGTTACATGAAATGGCATCCACCAAAAACTATTTGTATTTCAAGAACTAAAGGTTACATTGTGCCTATGAACTAGGTTTTAAAGTTCCAAGATGGATTCGACAAATTTGTGGACTTATTGGAAACTTTTCGCATTAACCTTGTATGAAAAAGTTGTTCATACGTTCTTGAAACTGTCACGGCGGAAGTGAGTAGAAGTGCACGATAAACCGTGTTTAGTGTTGGTCAAATGGTACTGAACTCAGGTGTACATAACTGTGGAAGTGTTTGGGCTCTTTACTGTATGCTACGTAGCTAGTGTAGTCTGTGGAAAAAGACACTCTGAAGCTTCAAGTATTTGAAGACAGGTGGTCTTCCGTAAGATTATTTCCCTTCTAAAACAAGTCACATAATTATCTTGTACTACAGACATGCTGCCGCAACTAGTCTCCAAACAAAAGATTGTAAAATTTAATCAATGTTGTACTGTTTAGTGTTATATAAGAGGATGGATGTAATAATCACGAGTGCTTGTATCTTAAAGGTTGTCATTAAATGGTTATTCATTGATTCTAACTCTGTAGTCTTTCTTTTAGAGAACGTAGATTCACTAAGCGTACACAATACACACAATGTTACAAGAAACCTCGTGTAATTTGATTAAAGCGGAGTATTTATTACTTAAAAAAATATGGAAATCATAACACACGATTAAAAAAAGGAAAGTTTTATTTTACGTACGGTAGTTTCTGATAGTAAAATAATCTGAAACGTCGGTCTATTTGCATTTCCACTGATAACGTTTCTTTAATGACGAGGAAAAAATAATTACATTGAAAACACCACTCGTTTAGGTAAGTGCTTTTGTGAGCTCCAGCGCCTTCTGGTGAACTGTGGTCCTTTTCTGTCCTCAATGTTGGCATGATACAGTATTACCTCATGATAGCCACCTTCTTGATGTAAATATCCATGGAAAAAACACGAAAAAAAGGACGGAAAACAACAGTTTCAGTTAATAATTTGTGAAAAAAAACAAACACACTTATGAAACATGGCTGACAAACAAACAGGGAAATGGATGAATAAACTTTAAAACAGGCACTGTAAAAATAAAAAAATAAAAAATTGCTACAGCCACATCTTTTCAACATGATTTAGAATCCAAACGTGTTCTTATTCATCCCTTTTTCACAACATGATTTTATTGCCTATAAAATATATATAATTGTTTAACATTACAGAAATGTCGTACGTTACACTCTGTACCGAGCATTGTATAAAAAACGAAACGTTAGTTACATCATGAAGTGATCATTGTATAAAACGAAATCTTAGTTACATCTTGAACTGACCATTGTATAAAACGAAACTTTAGTTACATCTTGAACTGATCATTCTTTAAAACGAAACCTTAGTTACATCTTGAACTAATCATCATATAAAACGAAGCCTTAGTTACATCTTGAACTAATCATCATATAAAGCGAAACGTTAGTTACATCTTGAACTGATCATTCTTTAAAACGAAACCTTAGTTACATCTTGAACTGATCATTCTTTAAAACGAAACCTTAGTTACATCTTGAACTAATCATCATATAAAGCGAAACGTTAGTTACATCGTGAACTGATCATTGTATAAAACTAGACTGTAAGTTAATTCGCGACGAAAAGGGATAACAAGCAAATGTCGAAAGAACAGTTTAGGACATGTATGTAAAGAAAGTTTGATTGAAATCTAACACAGGTAAATTCATTCTATATGATTGCTGCATATTCTTCAAGTCAGTAAAATTACTTATAATATTTCTTCACAAGAATTGATTTCATCTGAGCATCTTTCATACTCTATTCTAATATCATTCTGTATTGATTGTTAAAATAAAATAAATTATAACCTTTCTTCTCAACAATTGTTTTTAACTGTATTCGTTTAATATTGACTTTTATTATCATTCTTTACTGATTGTTAAAATAAAATTAATTATAACCTTTCTTCTCAACAATTGTTTTTAACTGTATTCACTTAATATTGACTTTTAATATCATTCTTTACTGATCGGCCCCCCAGTGGCACAGCGGTATGTCTGCGGACTTACAACGCTAGAAACCGGGTTTTGATACCCGTGGTGAGCAGAGCACAGATAGCCCTTCGTGTAGCTTTGTGCTTAACTTCAAAAACAAGCAAACTTTACTGATTGTTAAAATATGAGTAATTATAATCTTCCTTCACAATAATTGGTTTTAACTGTATTCGTTTAATATTGTCTTTTATTATCATTCTTTACTGATTGTTAAAATAAGAGTAATTATAATCTTTCTTCACAATTTGTTTAAGTACTCTATTGTAATAACATTCTGTATTAATGGTTAAAAATGTTTCGGATTCGGTTTACTTCTTTGAACCTTGGATTGTATTAACAGTGACACACAACTTGAACAACGTCCAGCTTTTTATTGAAAATCTTACAATACAGAAACAAATGTGTGTTATGTGGAACAAAATACAAACGAAACTACGACCAATTTGATTTGTTTAAAATTGATACAGTTACAACTGAAATAAACTAAACAATATAAAACATAATATAATGTGGTTTTGCCCATGGAATTTGTTGCTGGGCGCATCAAGATGGCTGCTCAAATCGATACTGCTATCTCGAAGAAGAAGAAGAAACGTGGCCTGCCTTTTACAGCAAACGTCTCGTTGATTTATTTTCTGCCATTCTCTTTCACCGAGATTCTTATGGCTTGGAATAAAATAGAGTGTTGGTGAAAAATCATTTATCACAGTTTAAATACATTAGACCTAATCATCACGAACTTACGTTGAAGCATGCAATAAACATATAGATGATTTGAAGTCACTACTTTAATATCCCAAGGTACCGTTACCAGTAGTCTGTAAATACACGATTCTGTAACCTCTATGAACGTTCACTGTATTTTGTCAGAATACCGTTCTCGTCCAGCGAACAAGTCTCATAATAAAGAAGTAAAATATTTTAGCACCGAGGTTTCGAGTTTACGATGTTTGCCTACGAAAGGTATAGCACGTACGTTTTACTACTTGTCTCTTCGGTAGGAGAAAATCGGTAGCAAACGACTCATGTAACTTTATTATAGTCGCTTGATGTTCAACTGATATGGAAGTTGTTTGGATGCTACGCATAACGTGGTTCAAGCTGGGAAAGATACCAAACGTCAGCGAACCTAGCTTGTCTACACCGTTACAAATTCACTGGAAAAGCCTGGAGTCAAGAAGGAATATGTTTTGTTTTTTATCCGTGGTAACATTTGATTGCAATGCTTTCTTTAAAATGCATATATAAGGGTATAAAATATAGATCTGTAAGTCAACATAAAATTAAATTTCATACTCCTATTGCACACAATAGTTTTTGTTGTTGTTATTTGTTCGTTTTTCTTTTACAGAGAGCAAGAATATTGAAAAATCAAAAGCCCTGGTGGTGTAAACTGAAAGTTTTATTATGTACGGAATGTAACATTTCCTCTTTCAGACAACACAGGAGTTCAGATTTTTAATGAACATTTAAGAAAGAGAAGCCTTTAAAGATAATTTCAAATCATATTACATTTCTAGCTTTCATGCGGTTCTAAAGTTGATAATTAATCCTTTTTTACAAAGAATTTACATAATTACATTGATCAGTTTGAACCTAAGTTGTTTTTAATGGCTGGTAAAAAGCCAAGGTTGAATGTTATAATACTGAAACATATATTGTTGCATTTATTAAAATTATTAATTCACATACAAAGGCTTTCTAACTTTTCTTTTCCTTTTCAGCCTATCTAGTAACAATATTTACTGTAATATAAATGTAATAAATCGATAGCACATTTACAGATGTCTTTATTAATTGGAAACTAGAAGGTATCATGTAGCGACGACATAAGTAATAACAAATACCAATATAGCGGTCACGTGACCAGGAGAGGACTGGTTAATTTTATATATATATATCATTACAATCTTCTAAATAAACTAAACTCTTTTAACTGTATTGTTTTTCTCTAATACTAAGATGTCTATTAATGCTCATTGATGTTTCCATTGTAAAATGATGAGCCGTAGTACTAAATAAATATATTTTAAATGTGAGATCTTACGTTTTCTGAACGTCTACTACAGTTCATACCAAACAAAATGTGACCTAAGTTCTTTAATAATGTATTCGGAGTTTAGTTCGTATTGTTACAACTGGCAGTACTGACGGAGCTGTTGTCCCCTAATGACGGTAATATAATCAGTAAAGTATATTTAACAAAATAAACTTTTTTTAAATGATTTTGAAACATTTCTGACTGATACATTTCGAAATATTATTTTAAAAACGTACGAGTGTTTTGACCCGTAGTGCACCGTATAACAGAAAACGTACACAAATACAGTGCTATATAGAACACACGTAGTTATTGCATATCTATATATATATGTAGGCTGATTGAAATGCTCTTTACCCACCACAATGTGTCTCTATAGGACTTTGAGAGGTAAAATAATTGCTACAAATTATTCGTCCATATAAGCTGTTTAGAATAATGTTAAATGAGTGGCATGTGTTAATCTAAGAATAGACCGAGCGTCATGTTTGTTTTTGATAAGATTCATAATTTTGAGGATGACATAAAACAACATTAAAAAGTCATTAAAGACAACTATACTTTGTTGTATTCCAACATTAAACTTAGAACCGTGTGGTATAACAAGGATTCGCACCCTCCTCGCCACCTCCGAAATCCAGAACTCTTCTACCACAAGGCCGAACCGCGCCCTCCGATGTAATCGTGACAAATATCAACTATTAGTTATCATGGTAAATAGTACTATCATTAAACATTCACTCTCGTGATCTTGAAATTAAGAAGTATTAACAAATATTCCTTATAAGATGAAGTACTGTGTAAAAACAAGGTAAGAATTAACACATTATATAACTCTAACATCAGTACAAGACAAACATGAATGATTAG